ACTACGTTTAAATAGGAAAGCACTGGTAAGTGGTAGCGTCTCGTTACGTTAGCGAACCAATTCCAAAATCCACGTAGGTATTGGTCTTTCGGCGCCTTTTTGTCTGGGAACAATGGGCTGGTTTTCTAGCAAGCGTTGATAGTCACCAGTAATTATCCTGGAGTCTGATGGATGCCGACGGTCAGGATACCTACACTACTACAACACATTATCATCTCCCCATAATCACCGAAAAATCAATCAATCAAAAAATCAAAAATCAGCTCCGAAAGTGTTTCGGAAATGCTAGAAATAATCTCGGATTTCAGAACAAAATAATCGCCGTGTGAGAGTTTACAAAGAGTGAACTATTTTACTGTTTTGGATGATTTCGAGTTCCAATTGAGATTTCGTCTTGGTAAACCTTACCTATGTGCAAGAGTTAGGGGAACCAGGTTAGTATATCTACTGGTACATAGTACGAGGAATTGTTTGGCACATTGTATTCCACCAGTGTTACCATCATGAACTCTAGACACGTTTTAACGAATTTATCCAAACCGTTTTTGTTGAAGGTAAAATGTATGTCCATGAATATGAGCCTGAAAACTGAAGCTGAGAGAATAGCCAAGGAAAAGTACTCGTAGGAAGGACTTCAACAATAAAATTGGACCTTACCTAAATGTTGCCAAGCATAGTCCTCAATACCAAGTAGTAAAAATATTTAATAAACTGCCAGCAGATTTAAAAGATTCATTGCATACTAGCTCTTTTAAAGCTAAGTTAAAAGAATTTCTGTTGGCGAGAAACTTGTTAATTTAATTATTTCCAATTTAATATTTTTGTAAATGAAATTTTATTTAATTTCTATGTTATTTTTGTATTATTTTAGTGTGTTAATGTTTTATTGTTTTATTGTTTTATTTTTCTGTTATTTTCATTACATTGCATGCAAATTTTTATCATATACTAACATCAAATACAATGTAAATTGTTCATGATTAAATAAATAAAAAATAAGAAGAGAAAAAACTGTTTTTTTTTTTTTGGAGTTTATGGCCTGGATACGAGTCCTTTAAGCCAAGAAAAAACTGTTTGGTGTTTTTCTTTTAAGATTAAATTATTCTCTCTGCACTTTTTAAAAATGTGACAGTGTGCTGTCATAAAAAAAAACAATTGCGAAAGTTACAATTATTTTTTATCTGTTTAAAATAAAATATATTTTATTTAAAATACAGTCTGTTTTCTCTACCAACGTCATACTTCCACACGTTATAAATTCACTAGCAATAACACTTAAGTTTGTTTAAATCATGGAGTGTCCCCAATTCTTCAGTTATTATTGACTTAGAGGTTTTATGTTCTAGAAACTATGCTTGCATCAGCAACAGATTTTATCGGAGTATCGAAATCATTTGCATGTCGTATTGTACGTGATGTCAGTTATGCAATAGCACATTTGTATAACAGATATATACATACATATATATACAGGGTGTAAGGGACAGCCTTCCGCAAACTGATAGGGTGGATTCAGTATATCGTCTTAAGTTGACCGGTACATGAAATTATTTCAGGAACGTTATGGGAATCCAATTAAACCGATTTGTTTCATTACCTTACACGCAATGTATCGCTACCACCGCAAACGCACGCAGCGAACGGCAGCGCTTTTAGTATTATTACTTTACACTATGGGCAGCGCCGCGACCTTACGTTCAGACAAACGGTCGCGCTCCCGCCACGTTTTAATAACAATAAATTATTATTTAAAAGATAGCCGCATTACTTACAAAAGACAATGTAATAATCGCGCTCGCGCCACGTTTTAATAACAATAAATTATTATTTAAAAGATAGCTGCATTACTTACCAAAGAAAATCTAACAATCATAACATGGTAACTGATAAATGATAAAAAAAGAAAAATGCGTAGGTACCTTAGAATCGCTCCGGTTTCCGGCTCTGGAAAGCATTTGTGATGCGGTCTCGCATTTCGTACTCACTTGCACACGCACTCACAAACACTTTTTCTTTTACGTAACCCCACAAAAAGGGGTCCAAATGGGTTAGGTCTGGGGATCGTGCTGGCCACGGTTGCGGTCCAAACCTACCTAAACTACGTTTAAATAGGAAAGCACTAATAAGTGGTAGCGTCTCGTTACGTTAGCGAACCAATTCCAAAATCCACGTAGGTATTGGTCTTCCGGCGCCTTTTTGTCTGGGAACAATGGGCTGGTTTTCTAGCAAGCGTTGATAGTCACCAGTAATTATCCTGGAGTCTGATGGATGGCGACGGTCAGGATAAGTACCTACACTACTACAACGCATTACTTATCATCTCCCCATAATCACGCGCGCTAAACGTACCTAGATAGTAATTTCGCACAATTTCTACAACAAAACTTCACTACACTTCACACACTACATAACTAATAAAACTTAACAACACTACTTAAAACAAAACTTTTAAGCCGAATGCGCGAGCGATCCGTACCGATACACGCTCGCGGTACACAAACAATAACATCGCAACAAGGCACAATGGCGACTGCATGTGATGAGACACACACAGACATAAATCTGTTGTTGCCAATTACACGAAAATTACAAAATTTCGGGGTAAAAAATAAAAAATTATGCATGGTCGTAATTTATCATTCTGTTATTTTTTGTAGAGAAATGAATTGATTAAATCAATTTAATTCTAATTTCATTGTTTAGTTAATTTAGAATAATAAAAGTGCAGTGTGACAGAAAGCTGTGCTTCCATTCCAGGGAGATTGTGTTTAATTTCTGGCTCGACTATCAATTCATGGCTTTTGTGAAGCCATGTAAAAATCTGTAAGTAGTTTAAAAACTAGCCAGTAATCGCTTAAAAAGAACAATCAATTAATAAATTAGGTAGTATTTGTAAATGCTTTAAAATTAAAACTAGACTAATCTTTATTTATTTCTTATTCAATTTATGTGCGCGACAAGATTTTCATTAATTGATTAATGAAAATCTCATCAACGTAATTATGAATGCAAAGGAGTTCTCAAGTTTTAGATAAATTTCGAGGTAACAAAAGTTAAAAATTGGCAACACTGGTTCAATCGGGCAAACATTGTGCAAAGAATCGGGGAGACGGGGAGACGCGGAGGCGGGGCGATAGAAAGGGACGCAGCTATTCTGTACGTTGGACGGGATCGTAGGTATTATACCTACGGCGCGCGGCGCGGCGATCGGCGCGGTGGGGCGCCGAGCCGATGCGCCGTGACCGCGGTGCGGTGAGTTCAAACGACTCGCGCTAGGTAGAAATTGAACAGCTGATTTCATGCGTAGTTCTTTAGAGAATTCACACAACCATTGCGTATTTTTTTGTTTTAGCTGTGTTATTTACGTTAATGTTATTCTTCATACATAGAATGTAATTATACATTGAAATAGAGGTGTAGGAACTGAAAAAACGAAAAAAAAATTGAAAATTTTCCTGAAAGAATTTTCACTGGAATATGATTCAGAATAAGGAGCTGAATGCACCCTGTTAATTTGTGGAGGGCTGTCCCTTACACCCTGTATACACATCAATACAGAGCAAGATTTTTATTCTGTGTCTTGATTTCCACGAGTACTTGGCGGCCTTGATGGAGCGCACATCAGAATAAGTACAATCACCGTGTAAACTTTTATTTTTCTACATTTCATGAATTTAAAACTTAAATCGGTTGGTTCTTTTGAATACTGTTATATAAAAAGGTGTAGATAGGTTACAAGCGCTCATCAAGTGATACATTAAAAATGTGGCTAACAAGTTACACTTTTTTCATACGCGATTATTGAATAATGCCATCTCACTTTGATGTCTAAACATACGAATTGTTCATGCGTGTGCATCAGTGTGTCGTTTTTGAAAATTGAATTTTGCGTAGGTAACCTATCTACACCATTTTACGTATAATATCATTGGTTATATATTATGCTGTTATATATTGTGCTATATATTAAATAATATTTATATTTTCCAGCGCAATGTGAAAATGGACATTTTGACAGTAGGTGGCTGCTTGGAGATAGTGCATATCCTTTGAAGCCATATCTCTTGACTCGTTTGTTGAATCCAGCAACACGAGGTGAACTACTTTATAATGACGCCCACAACTAGAAATACCATTGAAAGGTGTATTGAGGTTTATATTATATTGGGGAGATGTACCCTAACTAATGGATTGATCATCAAGTATTATAGTAACATTTTATTTATTTTGCTACAGCCGATTTGGAGTTTAGAAAAAAAGATTTCCAATGATGGCTTCCACTTTATGTCTGAGTTTAGTCCGACCAATGCAGTTATTATTGTTGCAGCAGTACTTCATAACATCTGTAGAATGAAAAGCCTAGATGATATTCAACCAGAGGTTGAGATTCCAGGTGAGGATGCAGTGCCTATACCTACTAATAATGAGGAAAATAACCAAACAATAAGAAACTTTAACAGCAGAATATTTTAATAAGTGAGTAATGAATGTTTTTATACTTATAATTCATGCGATTGTGTTATTAAAACTACGAGGTATTTATTGAACAAGATATTACACGCGCATTTGTATTTAAATAAAATACCGTGTGATTTGAGTATCTAACAAATCTTGTGTATTCATCATCATCATCATCATCAGCCGGAAGACGTCCACTGCTGGACAAAGGCGTCCCCCTTATGGGATCATCCTCACCAACCCTTATATAAATCATGTGTATTAACTTTAAATATTTTCGATTTATTATTTTCAGTTTGGAGTGAGAAAGAAAAAGATTCAAGAAAAACCATTGTTATAAGATGTTTGTGACATAACATTAAAAAAAATATAAGAGAAGCCAAAATAGTGTTATAAATACCCTTATGAGACGTATTTTATTTGCATATAATAATTTGTGTACTTATTCCCAAATTGTTGATACAAAATAAATAAATTTTGTTTGAGTATTTAAAGTTTTATTTGTCATTTTTCTTACTTCAATTATCAAATAACTCTAAAAACTAAATATGATCAAGTTTTTCTTTATTAGCTAACTTTAACAGTTTTATTTCCAACTCCAATTTTTCAGTCTTCTTTTTTAAATATTCGGCTATAGCTAAATTTCTTTCCCGGCGCCCATCTTCAGCTTTTATCTTTTTGGCTGTAAAAAAAAATATTTTTGTTAAAATAAAATTATAGCTATTATTGTTGGAGTATTGTACTCCAACAATAATAGCTATAATTTTATTTTTGTTTTTGTGAGGGAAAAATCATAAAATGGCTCTCCTGCCCAGAATGGGGCGGGAGTGTCAGACTCTTACTGACTAAAAACATTCCGTTCTTTCTCCAGCTATACGTGGAGGCCGCGGTTCCTTATTGTGCTTGTCCCGCAACTCCGGCTGAACATCAGCCCTATAGGGCCCTGCCTGGGGTGGTCTATTGGCACTCTAAGGCCCGCGCTTTACGCAACGCGTAAGGTTATGGCCCTGCGCAGGCCGCCCGCCGCCTCTAATCAGGCGCTCACAAAGGGGATCCGCAGAGGGCGATGGCCACCATAATAGCTGTCCTTGGTATAAAACCTTAAAGTGATAAATATTTTCAAAATAAATACTTACTCTTGTTTTTATTGCCCTCTCGTTTCTCTGTGGTCAAAATGTTCGATTTTCTCTTTTTAGCTAAAAAAAAAATACATGTACTAAGGACTTAAGGATGACTTCGCCATACCACTTACTTCTTAACACATACAAAACAGTGAACAGTGTAGTGTGAGCAGATTTTTTTACACAAGTAGGTACAAGATTTGCAAATATTGTGCTACACTAAAACCAAATATAGGGGTGATTCTACTGCGCTACAGGAAATTCTTGGAGTGTAGTGTCATCATAATAATACCTTCTTTTGTATGTAGAAGTAAATCTTCCGTAGGCATTTGCACTGCTGCATTATTATGAATCCGTTTTGAATTTGTGCCCATCTCCAACTCAAAGAGAACTTCACCACCACCATACCTATCACCACCAAAGGGAACCTCGAAACCCGTACAGGTAGACCGGATTAAATTAGCCACTTTATCAAGGATTTCATCCGCTGGAATGACATCTGCTTTTCCACCACCAGCCTGCAACATTATTTATTTAAACTTCGTTCATAATGGGTACATTGACGAACTTATGGTCTAGGCGTTTTATTTGCGCAAGAAGCAAGCAAAAATACTTAATTTTATATGTATATGTATGATATTTTGTCTCTTATTATTTGCATGCTAATTATAATATTATACAGGGTGTAAGGGACAGCCCTCCACAAATTAACAGGGTGCATTCAGCTCCTTATTCTGAATCATATTCCAGTGAAAATTCTTTCAGGAAAATTTTCAATTTTTTTTTCGTTTTTTCAGTTCCTACACCTCTATTTCAATGTATAATTACATTCTATGTATGAAGAATAACATTAATGTAAATAACACAGCTAAAACAAAAAAATACGCAATGGTTGTGTGAATTCTCTAAAGAACTACGCATGAAATCAGCTGTTCAATTTCTACCTAGCGCGAGTCGTTTGAACTCACCGCACCGCGGTCACGGCGCAGCGGCTCGGCGCCCCACCGCGCCGATCGCCGCGCCGCCGTAGGTATACCTACGATCCCGTCCAACGTACAGAATAGCTGCGTCCCTTTCTGTCGATTGAACCAGTGTTGCCAACTTTTAACTTTTGTTACCTCTTCTACCTTTCTACCTTTGTAAACGAAAATGTTAGAACTATCGAAATTTATCTAAAACTTGAGAACTCCTTTGCATTCATAATCACATTGATGAGATTTTCATTAATCAATTAATGAAAATCTTGTCGCGCACATAAATTGAATAAAAAATAAATAAAGATTAGTCTAGTTTTAATTTTAAAGCATTTACAAATACTACCTAATTTATTAATTGATTGTTCTTTTTAAGCGATTACTGGCTAGTTTTTAAACTACTTACAGATTTTTACATGGCTTCACAATAGCCATGAATTGATAGTCGAGCCAGAAATTAAACACAATCTCCCTGGAATGGAAGCACAGCTTTCTATCACACTGCACTTTTATTATTCTAAATTAACTAAACAATGAAATTAGAATTAAATTGATTTAATCAATTCATTTCTCTACAAAAAATAACAGAATGATAAATTACGACCATGCATAATTTTTTACCCCGAAATTTTGTACCTAATTTTCGTGTAATTGGCAACAACAGATTTATGTTTGTGTGTGTCTCATCACATGCAGTCGCCATTGTGCCTTGCTGCGATGTTACTGTTTATGTTCCGCGAGCGTGTGTTGGTACGGATCGCTCGCGCATTCGGCTTAAAAGTTTTGTTATAAGTAGTGTTGTTAAGTTTTATTAGTTATGTAGTGTGTGAAGTGTAGTGAAGTTTTGTTGTAGAAATTGTGCGAAATTACTACCTAGGTACGTTTTGCGCGCGTGATTATGGGGAGATGATAATGTGTTGTAGTAGTGTAGGTATCCTGACCGTCGGCATCCATCAGACTCCAGGATAATTACTGGTGACTATCAACGCTTGCTAGAAAACCAGCCCATTGTTCCCAGACAAAAAGGCGCCGAAAGACCAATACCTACGTGGATTTTGGAATTGGTTCGCTAACGTAACGAGACGCTACCACTTACCAGTGCTTTCCTATTTAAACGTAGTTTAGGTAGGTTTGGACCGCAACCGTGGCCAGCACGATCCCCAGACCTAACCCATTTGGACCCCTTTTTGTGGGGTTACGTAAAAGAAAAAGTGTTTGTGAGTGCGTGTGCAAGTGAGTACGAAATGCGAGACCGCATCACAAATGCTTTCCAGAGCCGGAAACCGGAGCGATTCTAAGGTACCTACGCATTTTTCTTTTTTTATCATTTATCAGTTACCATGTTATGATTGTTAGATTTTCTTTGGTAAGTAATGCAGCTATCTTTTAAATAATAATTTATTGTTATTAAAACGTGGCGCGAGCGCGATTATTACATTGTCTTTTGTAAGTAATGCGGCTATCTTTTAAATAATAATTTATTGTTATTAAAACGTGGCGGGAGCGCGACCGTTTGTCTGAACGTAAGGTCGCGGCGCTGCCCATAGTGTAAAGTAATAATACTAAAAGCGCTGCCGTTCGCTGCGTGCGTTTGCGGTGGTAGCGATACATTGCGTGTAAGGTAATGAAACAAATCGGTTTAATTGGATTCCCATAACGTTCCTGAAATAATTTCATGTACCGGTCAACTTAAGACGATATACTGAATCCACCCTATCAGTTTGCGGAAGGCTGTCCCTTACACCCTGTATATATATGTATGTATATATCTGTTATACAAATGTGCTATTGCATAACTGACATCACGTACAATACGACATGCAAATGATTTCGATACTCCGATAAAATCTGTTGCTGATGCAAGCATAGTTTCTAGAACATAAAACCTCTAAGTCAATAATAACTGAAGAATTGGGGACACTCCATGATTTAAACAAACTTAAGTGTTATTGCTAGTGAATTTATAACGTGTGGAAGTATGACGTTGGTAGAGAAAACAGACTGTATTTTAAATAAAATATATTTTATTTTAAACAGATAAAAAATAATTGTAACTTTCGCAATTGTTTTTTTTTTATGACAGCACACTGTCACATTTTTAAAAAGTGCAGAGAGAATAATTTAATCTTAAAAGAAAAACACCAAACAGTTTTTTCTTGGCTTAAAGGACTCGTATCCAGGCCATAAACTCCAAAAAAAAAAAAAACAGTTTTTTCTCTTCTTATTTTTTATTTATTTAATCATGAACAATTTACATTGTATTTGATGTTAGTATATGATAAAAATTTGCATGCAATGTAATGAAAATAACAGAAAAATAAAACAATAAAACAATAAAACATTAACACACTAAAATAATACAAAAATAACATAGAAATTAAATAAAATTTCATTTACAAAAATATTAAATTGGAAATAATTAAATTAACAAGTTTCTCGCCAACAGAAATTCTTTTAACTTAGCTTTAAAAGAGCTAGTATGCAATGAATCTTTTAAATCTGCTGGCAGTTTATTAAATATTTTTACTACTTGGTATTGAGGACTATGCTTGGCAACATTTAGGTAAGGTCCAATTTTATTGTTGAAGTCCTTCCTACGAGTACTTTTCCTTGGCTATTCTCTCAGCTTCAGTTTTCAGGCTCATATTCATGGACATACATTTTACCTTCAACAAAAACGGTTTGGATAAATTCGTTAAAACGTGTCTAGAGTTCATGATGGTAACACTGGTGGAATACAATGTGCCAAACAATTCCTCGTACTATGTACCAGTAGATATACTAACCTGGTTCCCCTAACTCTTGCACATAGGTAAGGTTTACCAAGACGAAATCTCAATTGGAACTCGAAATCATCCAAAACAGTAAAATAGTTCACTCTTTGTAAACTCTCACACGGCGATTATTTTGTTCTGAAATCCGAGATTATTTCTAGCATTTCCGAAACACTTTCGGAGCTCGAAATTCTCTTGAATAATACCACAAAACTTTCTGAAACCACCCACAAGTGACCGTTATGCAAACCAACTACGAACAGTATATTTCACAACTCGACTGACGTTTGATATTTTGATAGGAACACCATAAATCATTATTTCCATACTATGTGATTACGGATCGTTATTGGTAGTCGTCCCGTCCGTACGTAGCAAGCCAAGGGTAAGGTAGCTCACGAAAGGTTAATGAGGGTTTTCGATACTTTTTCTGCCGCCAGGCGGCGCTTCGTATGCGTCAGGTCCAAACAGCTATCAGATAGCACAGATTCTTACCGAACGTATTATTATTTTATGTATTTGGAGGTGTTATTGATTTTATTATGGCTACAAGCCACTGTTTGAATCGGCTTTTATCTTCTGTAGGGAACTTATGTCCTCCTTTTTTATTTGCACACATAGGCACTGCACAACACTGTGGCACTTTGAAAAACAATAAGTATTCCGTTTGTAACGTTTTTAAGAATAAATATACCAAAAAACTGATCGAAAATTATAAATCGTGTATGTGTTTTGACAGGACCTGACGTTACAGCGCTGCCGTCTCACGGGGGGATCATTTCAGAAAACGCCTTGTAGACAGTTATACTATACGTAAGCAACACGACTCGTTTTTAAAATATAGTTACCGGGCGTGTCTACCTTGTTCATAATTTCTTGGGTAGGTATAAAACTATAATAAAAAAAATAAAAATACACTGACGTGAATTAAAGAAATAGATAAATAAGTGACCGTACGCTTACACGAGGTCAACCAACTTGTCTGAATCAACTGAAATCAACCTCCTGAAATAAGAAACGTCTACAAACTAAGTATTTGAAACAAAATAACTTCGTTACTGCAGTTTCGATTACTTGTGAAATTCAGTTATATTTAGAAATTATTGTGGCGTTGTTCTATGCCCTGTACCAAAATTTATTATACTAACTTGTATCAGTGAAGTCTTATATTAAAGGATGGCGTTTTTCCTTTGTGTACGGAACCCTATAAATATATACCCTATGTATAGTAATGCTAAAATGGGGACAAAACAGATTGAAACTCATAATTTGACTTTTTCTTCTGTCAGCTGCGGGACAATCGCAATAATTTAGCGCGGTCCCAGCCTAGAGCAGGAGAAGGAACGAGAAGGTTTTTAATCAGTAAGTCTGACACTCCTGGATAGAGTATACATATATAGAGAGTCACATTGGCACTAGCCAGGTTTCGAACCCTCATGCATGAGAAGCGGGCTCCTTAACCTCCGGGCCACCATCCGAGTTATATGTACTTTCTATGATTATTTAGACACCACTGACATACGGTGAAGGTAAACATCGTGAGGAAACCTGGACTTATAATTTCTAATTATAGTTTGAAATCGCCAACCCACATTGAGCAAGCGAGGTGATGGAGCCTTCTCCGTGTGAGAAGAGGCCTTTGCTCAGCAGTGGGCACTTATAGGCTGATGATGATGATGATGATATAGAGAGTAATTAAGTCTTTTGATGATTTTTCTCTCACAATAAAGCGGCATCGTCCGCAGTTTACTTATTTTCCTGTTTATACATATATTATATTACCTACTACGATTTATCACCGAGTGATACAACATTAATACTTTTAATTATGATTAGATTTTTTTGTATTACATTTTAATAAGCTGTAAGCTGTAAATAATTAGGCTAGATATAAATAAATTTCCGATAACTCAAACTAATAATTTTCCATATTTATGAAAAAAAAAACTACTTCATGATTTACAAGAAGTAGATATTTATTGGCGGTTTTTTGACATATTTCGAAGATTGATATAAAAATATCACTAAATTGTTCGTAGAAATATATGACAAGAAAATATTTAAACGCTAATTACATACCTATATATCATGTGATTTTCTTATTCTTAGAAGCTATTTCAATTTTCTACCTAAGCGGTTTAGAAGTAGAGATCAATTTGAATTGCGCTGGTAATTGGCGGAAATTTTCTATGTAATGCTGATATAACAAAAAAGGTCACGTTCCTTCTGACATTAGGATTCTCTTGATATTTTGAAGGAATTAAAAATTAAATAAAAGACAAGGAAACGTGGCCCAAGTTTTTTACAAGATATCAAATAAAAAAAAAAGAAAATTCCGAGAGATTAGAATTTAAAAATCGAATCATACCTATATTTTGTTTTATGGTCTAGCCGGTCTAGAGTTGAAGTTTATGTGATTTTTTGTTTGTAAATGCATACAAAAAGGCATTGCGTTTTTAAATAGGAAATTACACTTTTGTTTAACAATCTTTCTTTTTTCTTTTTTTAGGATACTTACGTTGACACCGCTCTGAGATTTTCTCCTGTGTCGTGTCGTGGGTTCGTTTACAAACATACAATTTCATATACACATCACACTTAGACCCAGAACAACAATTTAAAGATCACACAAAGAGTTATTCCTTGCGAGAATCGAACATGCGACACGTTGCACGGGAGCCAATTGCCCAGCCACCGCGTCAACCATCAGATAACCTCCTCTCAGCCATCGAACTTACAATTAGTATAATAAGAACACCAATCGAATAACGAAACAAGCACTCAATAATTAACTAAATTACTAAAATTGGCCCTCAATTCATTATAACCATTAAAATATTTCGTTCTATGGTGTCGACAAAGGCTATATGTTGATCAAAGACTTCGTTATCTACCAATTAATTGGACAATTTCAAAAAGGAAATTTCCATGATGATTCATTGGATACGTTAATGTTTTTGTTGGAAATACTCGTAAGGAAGGAAAGGCAAAGAAATGTTTTATGTAAAAGGTTGTTACTAAGATCATGTTCAAATTTAATTGGCTGTTTTTGAATAAGTTCCTACTTAGAAAGGAATATATCGAGAGAAGACGTTGTAAGGCGAGACCATAGACAATCCTGTGTTAGAAACTCACTGATTAAATAATAATAAAATAAAAAATTATGATTTATTTTAGATTTACATCATGTGTGTTAGTGTGGAGGTGTCGTGCTTCTCATGCATGATGATGCGGGTTCGAAACCTGTCAAATACCAGTGTGACTTTTTCCGAGTTATATGTACTTTGTATGATTATTTAGACACCACTGACATTTCTTTTTTATGTAACAGGTCGGCAAACGAGTATTCAGCGCCGCTCATGGACACCCGCAACGAAGGAGTTACGAGTGCGTTGCCGGCGTTTTAGGGATAAAGGTTTCGGATATTTAAGGATTGGGAAGGGATGGGGGGAGTATAGGGCCTCCGGTAACCTCACTCACACAGCGAAACACAACGATGTGGTTGTTTCAAATCGGTTTTCTGTGAGGCCGTGGTATCACTCCGGTCGAGCCGACCCATTCGTGTCGAAGCATGGCTCTCCCACACTTGACATACGGTGAAGGTAAACATCGTGAGGAAACCTGGACTTATAATTTCTTATTATAAGTTTGAAATCGCCAATCCGCATAGAGCAAGCGTGGTGCTCAAATAATGCTCAAACCTTCTCCTTATGGGAAGAGGCTTTTGCTCAGCAGTGGGCACTTAAAGGCTGATGATGATGATGATGCTTAGGTCAGTTTAAAAATTACAGTTCGTCGGTCAGTCCTCTTAGTAAAGCTATTTGCTCGTACCAAAGTGTAGATTCCGATGGAGACAAACGAGCAAGAAACTCCATGGTTATTCTAAGCAGCCTATAAGTTTCTCTTTTCAGCCTATAAGTGCCCACTGTTGAGCTAAGCCCTCTTTTTACACTTCTCGGTGTTCCGGTTTGAGTATTGACCACGCTTGCTCAAGACGGATTGGCGATTTCAAACTTGTAACAAGAATAATTAGAAATTATAAGTCCAGGTTTCTTCAAGATGTTTTCCTTCACCGTATGTCAGTGGTGTCTAAATAAATCATAGAAAGTAAATACATATAACTCAGTTTTGACGTGTAAAAGTGCTGATTTATTTACTAAAATAAATAGTTTCATTGTTTTAGTTAAATTCACGTTGATACCTGTCAGGTTTCGAATTCGCACTGGCCCCCGCTTCTCATCTATACTAATATTAAAAAGAGGTAGGGATGGACATTAAAAAAATACATCGATGTTTTTTTCGATGTAATGCATCGTTTAGTTACATCGATGGTAATCCGATGTATTGAGAAATACATCGATGTTTCTTAAACATCGATTGTTTTAGGTTAGGCATTAATTAAAACAAAAACATGTATTAAGAAAATCAGAAAACATATGTATTTAAATTTAAAATCACAGAGCCAACACATTTTTCTCTTTATAAATTCCAATATTTTTTTTCAATGCTATGTAAAAACAACAGTTTGTTTAATCTCTTTCCCTTTAACCGGTTTCTTTGTTCCGTCATAACCAGCCCTGCCTGTGAAAAAAGTCTTTCAGAAGGGACTGACGTGCCAACTATTGTTAAATACTTATAAGCTATTTTATACAGCTTCGGGAATTGTATTTTATAATCTCTCCAGATTTCTAATGGATTTTCGTTCAGTCTTCCAACAGGAGTTCTGAGATAAACTGAAAGTTCGTCAGACAAAACATTTTCAGATTTGTTAATTTTCCAGTTATGATGCACTAACTTATGGTGATCAGTCCACAATGAAAATGCTTCTTCATTTTTATCGGACTTGTCAGAATCGGTAGTTCGGTAGTTCTACAATCCTATAATAGCAGATTTTCCGTGATAATCCGTGTCTTTAAAATGTTTTTTGCACAGACTTGAATCAACTGTTGATACAAAGGTTATAATTTTTGTAGCTCTTTCTCACTTTCTTTTTTTCAATGCTGGAGCTTTTGGAAAAAGATGATTACCACGATTAAAACAGCCTGGTACTTAACACAGTGGCATATTAGAAAAAACCTAATAATTCTGATTGAGAATCACCATTATGTATGAAATTGACAGTTGTCAGTCAAACCATCGACGATGCGCCATCTGACGGGATAAATACGCAGTGTGGATCCCCATTTGCGTATTCGATGTATCGAATGAAAAACATCGATATGTATTCGATGTTGAAGTATTAACAATACATCGGTTCAATACGATGCATCGATACAATACATCGAGTGTTTTTAAAACATCGATGTATATCGTCCACCCCTAAAAAGAGGTACGTAAGTCTGTAAGTTCCAAAGTAGGGGGTAATCTTTAGAACCGCTGGTCGGATTGCCAAAATTCTTTGACTGATAGGTAGCTACAATGTTCCTGAGTGCTATAGACTATAAAACATTACGCTACGATCAAATGGAGCCGAGCAGCGGGTGAAACCGCGCGAGAGTAGCTAGTGTCCTATACACAAGAAGCGGTGCCTTATCCTCCGGGCAACCAAAACTCACTATGATAACTACAAAGAAAAATATGTAGGTATTTGAATATACTTAGTATATTTTTAGATGTCTGTGTGTTCATATCATCAAAAGTGCTGCTGATGATGAATAAAATAGTTTCCATAACTTTCTAATGTACACAGTTATCCCCACTTCAGAAGTTACTCTTACAAGCAAACTTCTAGTCGTTATACTAAAAATGGTAATAAAATTAAATGTTATTCGTAAAGACAAGGGCACGACAAGCTACCCCCAATTCCCAAAAGTCTGCAAACAACATTCGTCTCTGTGACGAAAGGATAAAGTTGGAAATTAGTCTTAAGGTTGACTACCTTGATATGCAGGTGTTTGTATTTTATTAAATCTGTTAAGAATAATGATTGTAACAGGTGAAGGCACTGTATTCTTCTTTAGTTAAGTAAAAGTTATTTTTGAAATCTCTTGTAAGTTCAAGTGATTTGTTCGTTAACTTAATAGATTCTAACTTGTATGTAGTACCTAGGTAAAGCAGACTTGATCGAGTGTAGAATACAATATATATTATTTAACAAAAATTGCTCCACACTAAGATTTTCTCCTGTGTAGTGGATGCGTTTACAAACATACAATATCACATACACGAACCACCCAGACCCGAAACATCAATTTGTAAATCACATAAAGTGTTATTCCGTAAAGGAATAGAACCCGCCACACGTTACACAGCAGCTAGTTGCCCAGCCACTGCGCCAACCGTGCAGTCATTTGATTATTAAACTGGTTGAAAAACCATGGAGGTTTTCGTTCATTCTGCTCCATAGGAACCTTCACACTGTGAAACGAGCAAATAGATTCACTAGGGGCACTGATATATAGAGATATTTAACCACATCCCCTACACGAATAAAATATAACCTATAGCACTCAGGAACATTGTAGCTATCTATCTGTGAAGATTTTCATCAGAATTTTGGAAATCTGACCAGGATTCCAAAGTCTACCTCCTACGTACAAAGTTACCAAACCTCTTAAGAATATTAGTAGATAGTTATACTTAGGTTATACATATAATGTTAGGCATTCAAAACTGCCTTAAATTATTTTTTACTTTTTGACTATTAGGTAGCTACTTGTCAACTAGTCAAATTTAACTTAACTTTGCTTAAACTTACTTGGAATAACTTTTCTTGGATTCGATTATCAAAAACAAATTCACTCATCATCCAACATCTTCTAACTGACATATCATTTCACATTTTTATGGTGTTCCTTCCTACCTTCTTATTTATTTTTCGTGTGTAACATGTTACTTTTAAATAAACTTCGGAGTAAGAAAATGTCGGAAACTCGTCGTGAATAATAAACATTGTCAATGCGGCCTTTGAGATCGAGCCTACCACCTCATGCCTAACAGTTGAACCCTTACAAATGTTAAATTCTTACCATATAACATTTATTTCTTTTCTTTCTTTATAAAAACGTTGCCCCACTTTAGGATTTTCTTCTGTGTTGTGGGTGCGTTTACAAACATACAATGTCACATCCACATGACACCCAGACCCGAAACAATAATTTGTGGATCACACAAAGTGTTGTTCCGTGCGGGAATCGAACCCGCGACACGTTACACGGCAGCCAGTTGCCCAGCCACCGCACCAACCGTGCAGTCCCAATTACATATTATGTGTTAACACTTATCATTATTATACTAGCCTCAAAGAGTCAACCGACCGCCAGAGGTGGGGCCCATTAGGCCTGATCTTCAGTCGGGATTGCGAGTTCATGTCCCGCGGACACGACCTGGGCCAGGAGAAGGAACTAGACGGTTTTTAGTCAGTAAGAGTCTCCTCGGCCTTACAGAAAACCGGCGTAAAGCAACACATACCTTAAGGAGATTAAGAATTTGGAGATTTTGGGAATAAGGAGAGGGGAAGGATTGGGTCTCCGATAACCTCACTCCCTTGGCGAAACACAACGGTATGGTTGTTTTACGCTGGTTTTCTGTGAGGCCGTGGTATCACTCCGGTCGAGCCGACCCATTACGTGCCGAAGCATGATCTCCCACAATTAAGTTGCGTGTCTATAGTTACATATGTAAGTATGTATTTTTTTATTTTCTCTTTCGTGACGAAAAACTCTGTAAAAAGTTCTCTTGTTTCCAACGGATTGTGCAAACATAGTTGGTTATCAAATTTGAAATACTTTAGGATTTGTTCGCCCAGTATGATGGGACGAAATTTAATTAAATTCCACAGCGTTAAGCCTGTCAGCAAAGCAGAAATATATAAAAAAGCAATTATATATGTTTGTCGGCTTAGTAACCCTATTTTATGGAGCTTCTCGTCAAATTAAGGACTTTCGCAATAATTTTACTTAAGTACCTATTCTATTATACAATTTTCCACAAATTTCCTTGAGTTCGATACTATTGAAATTAATTTATTTACGGGAATTGTTTTTATTGGTGAATGTTTAAAATAATTCTAATAATAACAAATCTAGCGTGTATCAGATACAAGACTGAATGTCATCTTCGAGTACAGTAAAAAAGAGGACTCAACAGAGATCCCTGGGGTAGCTACATAATGTAGTTTATCATCTGCTTCGTCTCCGGAGAACGAAGGTCGAACTTGGTCACTAGTTATTATGACTAGACAAATGTAATGTGTTTATCTACCATAGGTTAGAACACAAAAATAACACTGTTTACATTCTCTGTCTGTCTGTTTGTTCCGACAAATCTTCAGAATGTATAACCGATTTTGACTAGATTTTTAGTGGTTCGTAGGTGGTCTTATAAGGAATAACTAAGGCTACTTTTATTTGAAGACAATTCTTTTCATTTTATCTCAAATGAGCATAGTGCATATACCCGCGCGATAGTGATAATCGAATTTTACGAGAACATAGTCGTGGTTGTGTATAACCTATTATAGTCTACAATAAAGTTAAATTATTTATTTCGAATAGACTACAACCGGCACTTATAAACGGCAAACAAACAAAAAACAGAATCCTGTCTTCATTCCTATTC